AAATTAAGGGAATAAATAGAATTGTACCCATATTGTTTATCATAAAATTATATTTTTTTATATTTATATTGTGATTGCAGTTTATTTTTCGTATCTCAAAAATTTATTACAAACAACAACATTACCACAAATAGTCCTCTATGATTGCAAAAAATGAGAAATTTTGGTTGTAGACTTGTAGTTAGAACCAAAAAAAAATGTTTCCTCCGACGGAAGTGTGGGAATAGTCACTTCTCATTTCATTACAGTAGAGGTTACAGTTCCTACACCATCCAATTCCATAACTCTTCATATGATTCTTAAATGTTGCTTTATTGGTTTAAGTGTAATTTATGAAATTTAGGAATTATCTCGAGAGTATATATAATCGGAGGATTTGGATAAGGTGGTGAAATGTATCCCGCACACTGAAAAGGTATTCATAGGAGGAGACTTCAATGGTCACATCGGGACTAAGTCAAGTGGTTATGATGACGTACATGGCAGTTTTGGTTTTGGGGAGAGGAACGTAGGAGGAGTTTCACTTTTGGACTTTGCAAAAGCTTTAATTTCGTGATAGCTAATTCGTGTTTTCTGAAGTAGAAAGAGCACATGGTTATCTTTCATACCATAGTGGCTAAGACTCAGATAAGTTACTTGCTCCTTAGGAAGTGTGATAGAGGTCAATGTAAGGACTGCAAGGCTATTCCGAGTAAAAAACCTTACAAACCAACATAAGCTCTTGGTTGTGGGCTAAGAGATTAATGAAGAATAAGACCTAGGACTAAGTGTGGTAGCTTGAGTTAAGCTGGATCTCAGGAAATGGGGGAGAAGTTGATGGAAATAGGGGATTGGGGGAGTAGTAGGGATGCAAATAGTATGGGGTATAGGACAACAAATTACATTAGAGATGTAGCTAAAGAGGTGTTGGGAGTCTCGATGGGTCACCTAGTGGTTACCGAGGGGATTGGTGGTAGAATGGAGAGGTTCAGAAGAAAGTGAAAGTCAAGAAGGTTGCTTATATGAAGTTAGCAAAGTAGCAAGGAAGATGAGGAAAGGAGGGAAAATAGGGAGAGATATAAGATGGAAAAGAAGGAAGTAAAGCTAGTGGTCTCGGCTGCAAAACTGGCAGCATTTGAACGCTTGTATGTAGAGTAGAGAACAAAGGCGGGGATAAAAAGCTGAATAAGCTCGCCAAGGCAAGAGAGAGGAGGGCTGATAGTTTATATGAGTCCACCAACTATATAGAGACCTGGTCCTATATCAGTTCCCTCAGTGCTAACTACTGAAACAATATGTAAATAAGACATAGGAGTTTTTACGTGAAAAAATTCCAACTCAAGGGGACAAAAACCACGGCCTACACTGGTAGGATTTCAACTTCACTAACTTGTAACTACACTATTGCAAGCCACTTTGTAATGGCTCTAGTACAAAGATTTTAATCACTCTAACTTGTAATACACTTATCACAAGCCACTTTGTCACTCACTAGTTATAAAGACTTCAACCTATGACTAACTCTAATCATAAAACAAACTCAGATGGTTTATGATTTTGAGTTTCCTAAAACAAAGCTTCTAAGAAAGCAAGATAGGAGTTACAATGAAGAACAAAATACAAGATTACAACTCAACTAAGGACACACATAGACTAATAGTGAAAATGGTCCGTAGTGGAGTTGTCTTCTTGTTCTTGACACACTTGTGACTTCAATGCTGGATGAGATCTTCAATGCTCGAGAGAATATCACTAAATGATCAAGTGAATATCTTATGTCTTACACAATATTCTTATACTTCAAAAGACATCCCAAGGATAATGTCTATTCTTGATTGGTACACGCCTTTTCCCAATGGGAAGTGACTGCTGCACTGTAGTGTGCACAGTTGCAGGCAGTCACTTTCTGCACTTGCTTTCTAGCTGTAGAGTTGACTTATACTTCTATCAGGGAAATATCAAGGTATCAGGTCCCTAAACTGGTTGTTATGACTCCAAAGGCACACTGCCCAAATTATCTTGAGCCCATTGCTGAATGATTTTACTAGGCATGTATCAAGTCCTTTATCTGGTTCTATACAGAAAGTTTGTTAGATCATCAAAATATAGACTAAGAGACCTTAAGCCCATCAATTTCTCCCTTTTTGATGATGACAAACTTTTAACATTAATAAATATTTATAGAGCTTAACTTAACAAGATAAAGTACTAGTAACCTCATATGTTCCCCATGACTCTATGCTTCCCCCTTAATCATCTGCTTCAATATTTCAAGTTAACCAACTCTTCCCCCTTTTGGCATCATTGAAAAGGCACAATCAGGAAAAAAAGCATAAAGAAGTCTAACACAGTTAACTCATACCCCATATGTGCTCATAACATGATAGAAAAAAGAAGCAAAAGGAAAACAAGCATTGTACTAGCAAAAGAAGAGTTGTTTCATTGATAATAAATTGGACTGTTTTAAACAGGAGCAGTAATAGTGAAATCCTACATGCCATAAAAAACAAAAATAAAATAACAGCCACAAAACATCAGAACAAAAGACAACTGGTCACTGAGAGGATCTTAGGGGGCACTAGAAGAGGGAAGCTTGGAGGAGGAGGCAACAATAGTTTTGAGAACTAGGTCCATGAGGGCATTTGCAGACAACTGTTCCTCAAGCAGTTTCTCCCGCAGGTTATCCACCTATTGCCTAAGCTCAATATTCTCCTTAGTCAAGCGGAAAACTTCTTCATGGGAAGAATTAACAGAACTAGGTGCCCCAATAGCTTGACCGAGCTGAGTTTCCAGTATAGCATTCTAAGCCCTCAATCTTTAGATTTATTCAGTAGCAGCATTCTGAGCATTTATTAGCTAAGAAATTGTTGAAGTACTTCCCCCAATCTTTTCTACACACTCACACTCTTCCAGAGTTGTTTAGGAGAAGGTTTGTTTGCAGGTGCCTACTTTTGGATTGGCCAAAGGTACCTTGTAAAACTGGAACACTCGAGTGAGGAGAAATATGTATGGAAGCTCATGATTGCCATCTTGAAAGTTCACCATTTTTTGCATGTGCGCTATCATAATTGCTAGCAGATTTATCGGTGTGAACTCATCAAGAGCCTCCATTAAGACCAGATCAACTTTGGACGCGATAGACCTCCTCTCAGCACGAGGTAAAAGAACCTTATTGACCAGTTCAAAGAGAAGCTAATACACCGGAAGTAGTGTCTTCTTATGCACCCGGTCCCCCTGCTGGATAGCCTGCTCTTTCACAATGGCTCTCCTAAAGTTAGCTCCACAAGCACCCTTGACTGAGGACATCCCTTCATATGGAACTTGGAGAGATTTCCTTAGTGTTGAAGCATCAAGCACGATGTCAACTCCATTCACCAACACGCAGATATGATCCCCTTCAACAGTGAAGACAAGAAACACTGCTTTTATTGGCCATTATTTAGTGACAATTAACTTATTGCCGGTAATTTATTTCCTTAACTCAAATAGTAGCGACAATTAGATATTATCCAGGAATTAATACCTTTTTCCCTAGTACTTAAAAAGAATGGCTACCAAACAGTTACGGTGCCCCCAATAATTAAATTCAAATTTTTTCCTAATTTTATCTTCCCTCCAAACAGGGGCGGATTTACATGCTAGTTTTAGGTGCTCAAGCACCCATTAACCTTGATGTAAACTAGGTATAGCTATACCAAAAATATAAGAAATAAGATATAACATTTTAGTGAGCACCCAATAAACAAAATGACTGATGGGTGCTGTAGTTCTGAAGTGGGAGTTAAAACCTTTCCTGAAAGCAAAGACCCAGGTTCGATTCCTGTCACAGCACTGCCTTTATATTTTTGAATGTTAGCTTTTTGTCTTTTATGGAAAAGTTTTTAACTTTTCCTATTCCCTTTAGGTTTTAGTTTAGGTTGTCAGATTACGTTTTAGTTTAACTTTTCGTATTCCCTTTACGTTTTCCTATTTTTCTAGTTTTTAACCTTTCTCTACTTTTGAACTAAATTTTCTTTTTTTAGTTTTTCCTTTTCCTACTTCCTTTCACCTTTAGGCATTATTATATTAATAATTAATTAGATTTAAGTATAAGAAAGGCCATCTTTACAGTCTTNCTGAAAGCAAAGACCCAGGTTCGATTCCTGTCACAGCACTGCCTTTATATTTTTTAATGTCAGCTTTTTGTCTTTTATGGAAAAGTTTTTAACTTTTCCTATTCCCTTTAGGTTTTAGTTTAGGTTGTCAGATTACGTTTTAGTTTAACTTTTCGTATTCCCTTTACGTTTTCCTATCTTTTTAGTTTTTAACCTTTCTCTGCTTTTGAACTAAATTTTCCTTTTTTAGTTTTTAGTTTTTCCTTTTCCTACTTCCTTTCACCTTTAGGCATTATTATATTAATAATTAATTAGATTTAAGTATAAGAAAGGCCATCTTTACAGTCTTACAGAAAAGTTTAAAACTAAACCCTTCTTGAATTTTTGCTCATTAGGAACGTAGAGAAGGGAAAAACGAAGAACAAAGTAGACGAAACAATCAGCAAACTCTCCGATCATTCACAACAATCTCAAAATCAGATTATCAGAACATAAAACAAGGTAATAAGATTTGGTATTTTTATTAAAGTAAGAAATTAAAAATATTCTTAGAAGGATTTTGAACTTTTTTCATGCTTATCGCTTATTCTTTGATAGCAGATTCAATGAAAAATATTATCTTTGTTACCAACTTGCTTGATTCCAAAACTTAATTTTGAGAATATATGCAGGTTAGTAATATTGGTGGGTTGTGCGATTGATGAAATTGTGCTCATCAACTCATTGCTTCAGAAATTTGTAAGTTTTCATCTTTTCTTTCGAAAAATTAAATAGTTATATTGTTATTGCCGTGTTGTTTGTGTTGTTGATTGAGGGGCATGGTTTTCCCGATAGAAATTAATTAAATTATGTGTAAAAAATTTCGGATGAAATTAAATTGAAATAAATCTTGTTTGTAGGAATTCTTCATCAATCTTTTGTGTCGAGATGGATAAGTTTGTCACAAGATCAAAAGTTGGGCAACCAAGTTCTAGTTCTACTCATCCATCTGTTGCGTTATCCGTAGCCCCGGAAATTCAAAGGGATATATCTCTTTCAGATCATAATTTAGGATCTCCCAATACTGACCCGGGGGATAGGAAGTCCATTGCAGAATATAGCCCTAATATACGAGATGAAATTAGAAAACATTATATTCAAATGGGACATTGCCAGCCTACGAGTCATGATTTTCCTAAAACTAAGTTTGGGAAGATAATGCGTCAGTTTTATCCTGGTTGGTTTAAGGGTCAACATTCAAAGTGGTTGGAGTACAATATATCAAAAGATGCTGCATATTATTTATGTTGTTATTTATTCAAAAATGAACATGAAATTCATGGAAATATGGGGGATGCTTTTACAAAAAATGGCTTTAAAGGTTGGAACAAGGCTATAGAAAGATTTAGAGCTCATGTTGGAGAGGTAAATAGCATCCACAATAAGTGTTTCAATAGGATGATTGATTTAATGAATCAATCACAATCAATTCGCACTTTTTTTGAAAAGCAATCCGAGAAAGAAAAAAGTGAGTCTCGACGTCGCTTGAGTGCTTCAATCGATGTGGTTAGGTTTCTTTTGAGACTAGGATTGCCATTTCGTGGGCACGATGAGAGTCAATCTTCTACAAATAGAGGTATCTTTCTTGAACTCTTGCAATGGTATGGAGATATTGATCCGGATATTGAAAGTATTATATTAGAAAATGCTCCAAAAAATGAAATGATGTGTTCCCCAATGATTCAGAAAGATATTGTTGATGTTTGTGCCAAAGAAGCAATCAAAGCTATCATTGAAGACTTGGATGGGAATTTTTTTGAGATACTAGTTAATGAATCAAAGGATATATCACACAAGGAGCAAATGGAACTTGTTTTGAGATATGTTAACAAAGAAGGCGAAGTAATTGAGAGATTTGTTGGTATTGTTCATGTCAATGATACATCTGCTCAATCATTGAAGAAGGAAATCGACTCTTTTCTTTTGTATCACTCATTAAGTCCATCTCAAATACGTGGGCAAGGTTATGATGGAGCTAGTAACATGCAGGGAGAGCTACGAGGTCTTAAGACTTTGATTCTGAATGAAACTCCATCGGCGTATTGCATTCATTGTTTTGCCCACCAATTGCAGTTAACACTTGTGGCTCTTGCAAAGAAGCATTCAGATGTAGATGACTTTTTTTGTATAGTTACTAATGTGTTAAATATTGTTGGATCATCTTTTAAGCGCAGGGATTTGCTTCAACAACATCAAGCTGAAAAATTAGAGGAGTTGCTCATATCAGGTAAGGTGCATACTGGACGAGGACTAAATCAAGAACGTGGGCTTCAACGACCAGGTGATACTCGTTGGGGTTCTCATTATAGAACGTTAAATAACCTCATTGTCCTATTTTCACCAATTATTCATGTTCTTGAATTTGTTGCTCGTGATGGTCCAAATTATGCCGATAAACTTGTTGCTGAAAGTCTTATGACTAAGATTAAGGAATTTGAATTTGTTTTTATGTTGCACTTGATGTGGAAAGTTCTAATGATGACAAATGATTTGAGTTCCTTAATACAAAGGATGGATCAAGATATTGTCAATGCTATGGGACTCTTCACTCATACAAAGCAAAGATTACAAAGGATGAGGAATAGTGAATTTCAATCATTAATGGATG